GGGTGGGGGGGGGGGGGGGGGTGTTAAAAAGCCTGAATCTCCCCAGGTCTCCTAAAACCAGTGCATAAAATATTATGGATTAGTAAAACCTTGCGTTTATGTTCACATCAGAGAGTTGTTTTTGCTTCATTAGCGTGCCCTTTGGAGTAGATCTGTAATCGAGTAATGCATTAAAATAATACAACAAAATGAAACAAGTTCCCTGATAGAATACAAACTTGCTATCCGGGTACTCCACAAAAACTTACTAAGGCATTGTGCTAGGTCATGGGAAGTGATATAGAAAAGTGTAAAAACAATCCTTATCCTCAAAGAGCACATTCTGCTTTGGAAGATAAATTATATAACTAAGAAAGCACTTTTAACTGTGGGAAAAGCACCCAAGGGCTGTGCAGAATTCGGAGGACAGAGGCTCTCCTTGCTGAGAGATTTGCAGCTTCTGCAAGAGGTAGCATTTGAATTGGGCCCAGAAAAATAGGTAGGAAGGGAGAGTGCAGGGGATGCCCACAGGGGAAGGATATCTAACAAAGTTTGAGGACAAAACAATAAAGTGGGTTCAGGGGATCACAGAAAGTGGGTAGGGGAGGTAGGGACCAAAGTATAGAGGATCGCAAACGCCTGGCCCAGAACATCAGATTCTATCCTGGGGCAGGGGTGATACCACCCAATCTGTGCTTTAGGAAGATTGGTTTGGCAAATGCCTGTTTCTTCAAAAGTGTGACTCTGGAGCAGGACCAGCACAGGGCATCCCTGTAGGGTGCTCTTCACTGGGGATATTGTGGTTTGGTCAACCCAGGTAGGGGAGATGTTTATCTTGACAGGGCTTTCTCTGGGAAGCTTTTGTTCATCCCACCCTCCCACACCACAAACCATAAAAGGTAGAAATGACCGCCAGTGTGTTGTGCTTCTTGAAGGCTGAGAAAGCCTTCAGTTCCAGTTGCAGTATCTCTTGGAGGACTAGTCTTGAAGAAACAAGGTAGCTATGCCTTTTTTTCATTCCTCCTGCTTCTTGTGCTCAAGAGCCCTCCTTCGGGGGAATCATTGGGGCATTCTGGGCTACAGGATTGACTAAGCAACTGCAGCCATTTTAACAGGTAGGTAGGGAGAGTTAATTGTAAGAGGGCATGTCAGTATCAGGGCAGGGAACTCATTTGTCTTGTTTACTCTGTAATCCCTAGTGCCTAGTACGGAGCCTGATCTGTATGGGCACAAATAAATATTAAATGAGTGGATGAGTAGGTTCCCATCCAGACTCAGGTATTCCCCTTCCCCCTTTCTCTGTTTACTTGCTGCCCAGGGAAAGCACCTGAAGCCCATACCATAATTTCTAGATAATTCCCCCCTGTGTGCCTTTGCTCTCATTCCTGACTATTAGATTCAGCTTTGTGCAAAGTGTGGGTTGTCCCATGAAAATCTCCTGAGGAGCTTGTGAAACTGGCGACTTCAGAACCCTCCTCCAGCTGAATTAAAATCTCAATGGGAGGGTCTCCCAAAGTTATCTGCTTTCAGGAGGTCTCAGTAATTGGAATGCACTGGTGAAGTCTGGAAACCCGTCCTGATCTAGATTGTGAGAATTGTGATTGATTCAAGGAGCTCATTTTATTTATTTTTGGTGGCTGGCCGGTATGGGGATCCGAACCCTTGACCTTGGTGTTATCAACACTGTGTTCTAACCAAAGGGAGCTAATTTTAAATTGATCATTGATGGTGAACTTTCTGTTTAGTCTTAAAGTGAATCTCCTGGTTTATAGATAATATCTTTATTATCGCTTTGCATATTTCATACATTTTCTTTCTAAGAGTGCAGATAAAACTGAGGCAAAAACTAGTTAATAAGTGCAATTGCCTTGTTTTTTTCCTTTTATAGGAGCCTGAGAGAAGCCTCTGATTTTCTAAACTCTAGCCGAGTATTTTATTTATTAGACCACTGCTTTCTAATCAAAATTGCTTATGAACTGATAGTTAGGAAATGTTGCAATTAGATCACTTGACCTTTTATGAAATGATGATGGAGTAGGGGTCGGGGAGGATTGGTTGCCAGTCAGCCTGGGCCTTTGTAGACCTTCCAGTCTACAGACCTCTACATAGGATCTTCTAGTAATATATGTGTAGTGGGGTCCTTCCCAGATACTGAGCCAAAAGGGATCTTAAGATCGTCCAGGGCGGGGCCAACTATTCATTTTACAAATGGGGCAGCTGACCTCACTAGGGAGGGCCACAGTGACTTACTGGTAGGTTCCAGTCTGCTGTTCCCTTTACTGTACCTCCCTTAGTTAGATTGTGTGTGAGCTTTTATATGTTGATGGCTCTGTGGGGCTGGGGAACTTGTATTATGAAGCCACTCTGGCATGACAAGCATACTCTTTTTACTCTGTTGTGTTTATTTGGGGGAAGCTGTTGGAATTGTGCATTCAGGAAGCACAAGTCACTCCTTGCCACCATCACTGCATTCTAGCCACCAGTCAAACTGGACTTGATGTTTCCTGAACTTCCGATCATCTCTGCTTCTGAGCCCTTTTACCTTGTTGCTCCCTTGGTCTGGAATGTCCTCCCCCCACTTGCCTTCAAAGCTCACCTCAGGCTTTACCTGTTTTCTTTTTTTTAATACCTTCCTTGCCCTTCCAAGTCGGGATTAAATGCCCTGCCCCATAAAGTCCCCGCTTTGGACTCATCATTGTAATTGTCAGTTTGCTTCTTTGCCC